TGTGGCATCGCTTTGGCATACTGCAGTTATTGGTCTTGTGCACTCATCAACATCTGAAATTAAGAAATAACCATCATTATAAATGCTATTTATATATTTTGATAAAGGTTGTCCATCGCTACGTGGCACCGCTGTGTCAAAAACAAATCACTACTAAAAAGAAAGTGAATTACTGAGGAGCAAATCCCTTGCTATAAACTGAATGAGATCGGAATACTAATTAAATTTAGCGACAGATGGTTATTCTCCCACTATAATTAGGAATGGATGTAACAAATGCTGACTATTTAATTAGATTGACACCCAAATCTATTGCTACAGAGTAAGGTTAACCAGTTTTGGTGCTCACAATAGTGATTAGCACTATGAGACTCATCAATTTTGAGTTGTCCTATTTGATAAAAACAGTTTATATTACATCTGGACTGTCAAGGTAATAAATCACTATACTTGAAAAAGGTGTGTGGCACAAATCCCTTGCTAATTGAAATCAGGATAAATTTTATTATTACTAAATATTGCAATGCTAAAACATAGCGATGGATGGTTATTCCCTCACTAATTTTATAGGGATACAACTAGGCGCTGACTGTTGAATTATTACCTTGACACCCAAATCTCTATTGCTAGAGAAGGTAAGGAGACTAAAACCCATATGCAGTAAAAGGAAAAAATCAAAAAATTTTTGGTAAGCAGACTATAATTACCTTGACATCCATCCAAATAGTATGGATTTCCCTCAAACCAGGTTTGCATTTGCATTTGTACCGATGACCAGCGTTGGAGTAATAGTCCACATGGTATGTGTTGTTTTTGCAGGCACAGTATGGACTGGAACCATTTTGGCAGCTAACATTTGAAACAGTCCCATCTAGCACAACTGGGGTCACTCAAAGGAAAGTTCAGTAAATGATGAGGGAGAAACTGAACCAACCATTTTTAGCTACAAAGGCATAGCTACAATTATTTCCATTTGATACCTTATAATTGGAGAAGGCGCGAGTTGCCTGAAAATCATATGTTGAAGGCTTTCCTTGAGGAGGAATTTCCCCATGGCAACACCCAGTCCCAGCACAAGTATTATTATTTTTTGGCAGTTGATCACAGATTGCTAAGCAGCCTCCAAAATTAGTAGATTGGCCTTCATGATGACTACAATCCTACCTAGAATGTTACAACCAACACTTACGAACATGTTCTCCGAGGTGGAAATGGTGAAATAATGGCCAGCGTCAGAAGAGGATGTTTTTCTTCTGATTGATTACCACAAATCTTGGAGACTTCAAACAAAACGTCCATAACCATGTTGGACAGATATGCTTGAAACTGGGTTTTTTCCGTAGAATAATGTGGATGTAGAAGTGTCACAGGTGAGATTAAATGGCTTCTCCAAGGAGCAGTTGTCCCCCACACCAAATGGATATGGAATCTCTACTTCCCCACATTTCTTGAGGCAGCCTTTAAGGGATTTAGCTTCTGATATTGCAGCTTCCATGGCTGCAACTAAAAGAAGGAACAAGATCAGTAACTTCAGCTCCATTGACTTCTCTCTCATATGATCACCTTATTTTGACACGATTCTGTTTACAAGGATTGGAATGCAACTATATGTATATGATTTCTTGGGAAGCTTGAAGATACAGAATATGAATATATAATGGAAGTTAAAATGTAATTTAGAACGATCACATTATACTACCTCCGGTCTTAATTATAAGATTTCATTTGTAGTCTACAAGCGAGGTCTCTATAGGTCACGTTGTACATCCTAATCAAGCAATTAAATTCACATATATATGTGGAAATCGATTGAGCATGGACAAGGAGAGAGGATGATGAAGACGTTTTTGGCTTGATAATGTGAAATATTATTAATTAAGATCCTTATTTTGACGATAATGTTTACAGAAATTTTGGAATGGGATTGGATAGTTCCGAATTCTGGATGATGCTTTGATGCTGTATGTACATTATTGAACTTTCAAAATTAGTACAAATGGATAAATACAGAGGTTGACGAAGACGAGCTTTGGATTGGTTGATTGACCTCACAGCTCACATCCATCGCAATCAATCTAAGTCTCAGAAGTGAATATGGATAGACTTTGACGAAGACCCGCGAGCTTTAATTTTGGCGTCAACAGTCTGATATTTACCAAAAGGTGTAATCCCTTTTAGAATAAAATACTTCTTTAGTGGATAAATTTTCACTCAAATTTTGAATTTTGCTAAGGTTTCTCTTTTTATTTAAGACTTGCCTTTCATAATACTATTATTTCTTTCCTTTCATTTTTTTTTCTTTTCCTGGAAAAGCTAATGGAAGGTTAGGGTCCCCCCAAAAAAAAAGTTCTTAAAGTTTGTTTCATTTTGTAAGGATTATATTCATACAAAGATTTTTGGAAGGTATTTGGCATTTTGTGATTGTGAGGAACTAATTTAGATTTTGACTAATTCAAAAGTATTTAAGTATCTTCTCTCTCAGAATTTTTTAAACATTTTATTATTTTATTAATAAACTGCTTAAATTGACATAAATGACCGTAACTCTCTATCCGTCTCTATGGTCGACACACATTGTTTGAGAAATTAATTTGAAAATATTAAAAATATCTTAGCCCTCAGAAAAATTATAAAAATGTTCCAATCATTAAACTGTCATGGAGCTTAAACATTTTAAGACATGAACAAACTATACTAAAAGACCATTTATTATGAAAGAAATAATAAATTTTGCAGGACAAATAATCACTTGCGCCAATTATAGCTCCCTATAATAAAATGTCATCTTATTTATTTATTTTTAAATTTTTTTCTAGAGGCGAAGGTTATACGACTTGTTTGCCTTCATTTTTTTCCCACCAAATGCATTCAAATTCATTAGTATATTTTTTGCATTCATATTGATTAGTAGTTAAAATATAATTAGAAGGCATTAATAAGACATGCGGATGCTATTATTTCGTCTTTGTTATATAAATATTGAAGGAAAATAAGACAACATAATTGAAGTATGAGACAAGTGTAAAGATAAGCATTCATATAAATTTTCATGCAGCTTATGCTCAAACATGTGATTGGAACTACAATCACGTTTTATCAGGGTTTTAAAAAAGTTAACAAACAGGATAAAAGGACTCTATAATCACTTATTTGAGTTCAAACGGGCTTATTTGAACTTCCACTACTTAACCAAACAAACACTACATCCACTCTGCATAAAGCACTAAAAAAATTGACTTTTAGTGGTGACAAAAGTTGTTGCTGAAAGTCAAAAAGTTGCTGTTGAAAGACAGCAAGCCACGTCGTTGTTGTACGTAGCGACTGTCATTGAAACTTATCAATGGAGACAAATAGAGTCGCTATCGCCCACCGCCACATTATCACCAAACTAGCCATCGACCGTTGCCACATCATCCACCCCCTCACCTATACCCCATGTCCACATCTCGACGCACCATGTCACTAACTAGATATTATCACCATAAATATGGCCCTTCTATGGTTCGAATTCCTAGGCCCCTCCTTCTACATCCCTTCTTTTTGCCATTAAATTAGAATATATTTGGTGATAATTGTGGTAAAATCAAATATATATCATCGTAATAAAATATTGAAATAGACTTTTTAGTGGCAACATGTTGAGTCACCGCTAAAAGCTTCTTTCTGTGGTAACAATAACTGTTGTCACTAAAAGTCCTTTTTAGCAACAACATTAGGAGCCGCCACTGAAAATCACACTTTCAATAATGGCAATTTGTGTTCCGCTACAAGTCATTGCTGGAAGTCATTTTTTTTTGTAGTGAAGCCTCTACTTATATGTTTTCAACCCCCTAAGAGTTATCATTTCATTAATAGAGGAATAATCCATATATGTTACAACATGAAACTATCGGAAGTTATAACAAAGAATATAGGCTAAAGTATACATTTGGTCCTTTAACTTTGTACAAGGTTTCAATTTGATCCGTTAACTTTAAAAAGCATACATTTGGTCCTTTACCTTAAAATCTAGGCTTCAATGATGATTTTTTGTAATAATCATGGATGTTTTGAAAATTAAACTTAATATGTTAGTATTTGAAAATATTTTATCAACATTTCAGATCTTAATGTCATCATTTTTAAAAAAATTTAGGGTTAAAGGACTAAAAGTATACTTTTTAAAGTTATGGGACTAAATTGAAACCTTGTATAAAGTTAAAGAACCAAATGTATACTTTAGCCAATAATATAAGAAAACCATCCATTTGAAAGTTACGAACACTAGGATTGAATATTAAAAGCTTATGAAGTTATGACATATCCCCCATCAATATTTATGACATTCTTATTTTTATTTTTTTCTTGCAATGAAGGTATGATAATCAATTTAATCTTTCAGGCCTTCTTCTTCTTCTTCTTTTATTTTTCTGCAATATTTCATCAACATAATTGTAACTTTTATGATCTTCCGTAATAAATATATGCCAATTTTCCTCAAATTCTCTCTCTCTATACAAATTATATGAAAGGGAAATTAAAAGTTGTAATTATTTAAAAAATATAAATCAAAATTTCAAATACATAAAAACTCAAGTCAAGTTACTTATATCCATTATGTCAAGATCTTCAATTGCACATGAGCAAGTGTCCTTTTTGTTTCATATTTAAATGCTAATATTTTAAAAATAAGATACATGGTTATGTATTATTAGAGAATTTGATATAATAGATATAAATAACTTAATGTAAGTATTATCCTTAAATATATATATATATATATATATATAAATATGGTTCGAAACCTCTCCTCTTCCCTCCTCCTCTTCTTCCCTCCTCTTCTTTTTTCTAACCTTTGGATTAATATTTCAACGGTTGAGATTTAAACCATTTGAAAACTATTATTAAAATATTAATTTGTAAAAATAAATAAATAATAAATTACAAACTATATTAAAATTTAATTCTAATAGTTTGCAAATATACTAAATATTTTTAAAATTTTTTATAAATAGTTTATAAAAAATTAAAATTTGAACCGTTGAAATATGTTAATTTAATAGTATTGAACCAAAATAAATACTACCTTTAGTTCTTAATATAAAAACTAGTTGACTAATTTGAATATATTAAGAAAATTAGTTTAGTTAATTATTTGTAATAAATAGGTATTGTCTTTTCTAAAATATTCTTATCAATAAAGTATATTGGCTAGAACTACCATTATTACAAGTACTATCTTAAAAAAAAAAAGATAAATGTATGAGATAGAGTGGATTGATATCTTATATTTAAGACTGAAATAAAAGTTAAATGAGTTTTTATATTAAAGATCAGAGATGATAATAAATTAACAGAATTGTCGATTAGATTATCCATTTTACGTGTTGGATACCTCCATATATGTCAAAAGAAACAAAATATAATTGGAATCGGTTAAAGAAAAACACGACTTTTAGCGCTTTTAGTTTGAAGATTGTCGCGATGGAAGTTAATATCTAAAAGTTCCAAGCATGCGAAGTGCCAGTTCATCGCTTCAAACCAAAACGTTGATTGACTTAAAAGTATAAAACCTAAGACCCTCAAGTAATAGCTGGTTTTAGATAAGAAAAAACCTTAACACACAACAAGTAGAGAAAATAAATATACTAGTCCAGATCAATTATTAGAGCCTCAATGTGACAGCAAAAGAACACGCACTATAAGGGGGGGGGGGGAACACGCGCACACACAGCATTTTATGATCGTTATTTTCACGATTTTGAGAATCACTACAAATTTACCATGGAAAGAGAATTTGTAGCCGTTACAAAAACTGCTACTCATAGGCGTTATTAAGCCTATATGATGTGTGAAAATAATTACAAAGGGTTGGTGACGCATGTGATTCCCAAGATTCAATTAGCAGCGGTTTTAAACTACTTCGACGTGAAAATTTGAAAATTTCCGCCAACAAATTATGAAGGATGTAACAACCTAACCGCCACATTTTATTTAGTTATTTTGGTAGTGATGAAGGCAATTTCAAGTAATTCTCCAAGCAATGTAGCAACATATTTTTTTATTTAGAGAAGAGGAGGAAAGTGAACGTATAGTAATTAAAGACTTGGAGAAAATATAACAGCTTTGGATCGAAAGGAAAAAGGATAGAATGAAAGACGAATCTATAAGCGCTCCACTACTTAGAAAAAGGGATTAGGATTAACTGGACTTTGTGAATTTTCGGAATGTTCATGGAAGATGACAACAGTCTGAATTTTCCTCTCTCCCTCTCTCCCCCTCTCCCCTTCGGACTTTGTCCTCCTCCCATTCTTCAAATAAACAGACGGTGTGTGTGTGTGTATGGACACACACAAATATAAGTCCACATTACCTATCTACTGTCTTACTTCAGTCTCTGGAATTTATAATGTAAGTTGGACTTGGACTCTGCAAGTTACCCTATTATTTTGTCTTAATTACACAAATATTCTCATTTTAGAAGTGTATATTTTAGTTCAAGTTAAGCCATTTACATAGTTAAAGAATATTCTAAAATAATTCTAAAATTATATTTTTTTT